AAAAGAAAAAAAACCTTCACCTAAGTTGTAGCTTACTGAAATACTGAAATACAGTATCCCTTAATATTATTTTCTGTTAGTTGTTAACAAGATATTACAAATGCAGTAATAAAATTTTTAAGTCAGCAAGATTTATGTTTTATTTAACTGCTGAACTCTTACTATTAGAGGAAAGGAATGATTAGTTGTTTTCATTTACAATGTGACATTTACATTAAGCAATAAATGCTCTAATAGTGTATTAATTTATTTGTCATATGATCCTGGACGTGTGCAATAATTTGTAAAAGTTTTCCTATAGCCAAGGATATGGTGCTACATTTTTTCCAATAACAAATGCATTTTCATATTCAATCTTTGCCTCTAATTTAATTTTTAAAGTAGGTTTAGCAATATTAATGGTGAGGCAAGCATGTTTTAATAATAGTGTTTATATGAATTTCTGAATAATTATGCTTTAACAAACTTATTAATATGAAGTAATTTTCAATTTTTTGCTTGTGTCCCAAATTATTTTTCAAGTCATTCGTTTTAATAAAATAGCAATCCCTATCTTATAACCTCAGTTTTGGAGTAGTCCCGTAAAAATAATGGCTATTTTGTGTCAATATATTATTACATAATTGTAAATAAGTAATTGAATGAACTGCAATGACATCATATGATTTAATTATTTATATATTTTAAAACAGCTGGTTTTTGCATCATGTAGGCCAAAACATTTGGCTGTTTATTTTTTAACCTTTTTTAACACAAAGTGAATGTAACTAAAGACAAATGTAGAACAACTCATTCCTTGTTTATTTTGTACTATTAGGAATTCTAGGAAGAAGTGATTGGAAATGATACCATTTGATGGATTCATAATTTTTCAAACATTATGAATATTTAAAATGAAGGGAATATGTGAGATGATATTCTGGTGTCTTCAGATATTTCAAGAGTTTTCAATGGGTCAAAACTTAGGGCAGGTTTAGGAAGATTTTCTATGGGTAACAAAATTGTTGCAATGCCTATAATGTATGACGTATTATGATTAGTACTTTCACATACATTGTATCTTCAAATAACTACAACTTTTTGTAACTGTTTTCATTTTGAAAGAGAAAAATGGGTAATGTGGTCATAGTTGTGATTTCAGCCTTGGTCTAGAAGACTTTAGAGTCCTATCTTTGTTGATTTTAAGGCTCTTACCAATGTATATGTTCAGGCAATTGATAAACACTTAGTAAAGATATCCTAGAGGATAAGAAAGTATCATTGGGGCCGGGCGCGGTGGCTCAAGCCTGTAATCCCAGCACTTTGGGAGGCCGAGACGGGCGGATCACGAGGTCAGGAGATCGAGACCATCCTGGCTAACACGGTGAAACCCCGTCTCTACTAAAAAAGTACAAAAAACTAGCCGGGCGAGGTGGCGGGCGCCTGTAGTCCCAGCTACTCCGGAGGCTGAGGCAGGAGAATGGCGTAAACCCGGGAGGAGGAGCTTGCGGTGAGCAGAGATCCGGCCACTGCACTCCAGCCTGGGTGACAGAGCCAGACTCCGTCTCAAAAAAAAAAAAAAGAAAGTATCATTGGGTGCTGGAGGAGGTAATGATTTTAAACACATATTTTCTAATAACTTCTAGAACTTTACCCATGTTTGCTAAGTTCTTTCTGAGTTTAGTGTTGGCACCTTATGTGGTTTGGCTTTGTCCTCACCCAAATCTCATTTTGAATTGTAGCTTCAGTAATGCCCATGGGAGTTGGGCATTCCGTTCCATGGGAGAGACACGGAGGGAAGGAATTGAATCATGGGGGCAGGTCGTTCCCAGGCTGTTCTGGTGATAGCAAATGATTCTCATAAGATCTAATGATTTTATAAAGGGGAGTTCCCCTACACATGCCCTCTTGCCTGCCGCCATGTAAGACGTCCCTTTGCTCTTCCTTCATCCTCTGACATGATTGTGAGGCCTCCCCAGCCATGTGGAACTGAGTCCATTAAATGCTTTTCCTTTATAAATTACCCAGTGTCAGTTATGTCTTTATTAGCAGCATGAGAACAGACTAATACATCATCCACAATAATTGTTAGAGGGAGAACTATGTTTCTTGGAAATACATGTACATAAACAATAACAGTTGCTGAATTTTCTAAGACTATGCAAAGATAGTAACAACCTGGAATTAAGAAATTGACCTTAATTTTTTATAGGATGTTCCATTTCAACATAATATTAAGAAAAAAAATCTTTGTATGATAACACTAGAAAATGTAGTATTAGAATCTCAAATCTGAACTTTCTCACTTTAGTCTTTGCATTGACCAAAATGTATGGGCTAAAAAAAAACACCTTACTTTAATATAGAACCCTTCTTGATTTTCTGAAAATTTCACTTACATTATGAGATATAAGACATCTCATAGAGTGAGATAGCCCTAGGTGAGAGTCCTCACTTTGCTATTTATCTGTATGACCTTGCCCAAGGTTACTTGATCTTTCTCTGTCCTTGCATTTTTGTAGCACTAAAATAGAAATATGTATTTACCTCATTCGATTCTTAAGATAATTTTTTTAACATATGTTTTATGGTAGCTGGAACATAGTAAGTCTTAATAAAGGTATTATTACAAAAAAAGGAAATGCTGTTCTCATTAGTTATGTGACTATATAGACAATAAATTTTCTCTGGGAAATTAGAATTTAGGTAGGAATTTCAGCTGTTACTCTGCTTTTTATGCTAAAATGAAGACAGAAACGTACTGTTGGTCAACAGTATGTTTTAGGGGGAGTTAGGATGATATTATGAGGCCTTTATATTTTGCTACCATAATGAAATAATATAAAATGTAATTACAGAATTCAGATTTTTTTTTATACTGCACCTTTACTACAAAGAAAGAAATATGATCAGAGCTACAGGGACAATGACGTGTTTTAACTAAAACAATTTATTTAGCAATATATTGTGCCTGTATTTACTAACATGTGTGCAGAATACATACATATGAATATATGTGCAGAATACATATGTATTCTGCACATATATTCATATAAGTGTAATTTTTGTAACAACAAAATCCCAGAAAGGTGTACTTTTTCAGTTAAGATACTTTAAGAACAGATTATGCTTATGGTAGATGTGCACTGCTAGAATGAGTGGATTCATGCTAGAAGACAGAAATGAAATGTTCTTCAAGATGTTAAAGACACAGGGCACAGGCCGGGCGCGGTGGCTCACGCGGGTAATCCCAGCACTTTGGGAGGTCGAGACGGGCGGATCACTAGGTCAGGAGATTGAGACCATCCTGGCTAACACGGTGAAACCCCGTCTCTACTAAAAATACAAAAAAATGAGCCGGGCGTGCTGGCGGGTACCTGTAGTCCCAGCTACTCCGGAGGCTGGGGCAGGAGAATTCCATGAACCTGGGAGGCGGAGCTTGCAGTGAGCCAATATCGCCCCACTACACTCCAACCTGGGCTACAGAGCGAGACTCCGTCTCAGAAAAAAAAAAAAAAAAAAAAAAAAAAACAAGGGGAAAAAAAAAAAAACGGGCACAACAGAGCAAAGTATTCTGATATATGTACAAAAATTTACATACGCATACACATACATACACACACAAACTATTTCTGAAAGAATGTTCTAAAATGTGAAATTGTTTCTGCGAGGAGGATATCTTACTTTGGAGGGAGATGTACTACTGGATTTCTGATATTTTTATCATGCATATATGAACGTGAAAATTAGCTTAAAATATATTCATGGAAGGAAATAAATGAAAAGACAAACAATTGCTGTACGAACATGGTTGTCAAATGATTGATTTATATTCATATGTGTGTATGTGGTATGTCCCAGTTATTCTAAAATGCTGTAGTAAACATAAATTTCAAAAAGATACAGCATTGATTGACAGATTCAGATAAATAATTGAAATATATAGGCTATAATTTACTTTTATTTAATTGTACAATTAATCTGTGCATTGATTTTAGTATTTCTGACCATTTCAGTATTAAATTAAGCAATAGCTTAATTTTCCTTTTTAAATAAATTTCTAATTATTATCTTAAGACAATATCATCACTTCTTTAAATTTTGACTCTATAAGATCATTCATATATCTTTACAAGTGAAAGCAGCAGAAATAATTAGCTAAACTCAAGTTGCTGTTTCATCTTAGATCTGTTTTATATTATTATGCTTAGGAATTTCATTATTTCTGCCTTTCTCTTCCTCAGACAAAATAAGTCATAGTTAAAGTAAAATTACAATGCTTTTATTAATTTCAAGAACATTTTAAAAACTCAGCCTATTTCTGCATTAAAAATATCGGTGGTTGAATATCAATTGGTACTATTACATAGATCTTAAAAGAAAGAAAGTTAAACATCATGTCTCATAGAGCCAAGTTAACTATTCTTTAGAGTGACATGAAAACCTCAAAAAGAGGTAGAAATCAGTAATCTGCTGACATAAAGTTAAAATGTAAATGGCATGCCTATGTATTTCTTTCATAGACATATAGGTTGCAATAGACAGATTTTCTCTATTGGAAAAAATATGGGAAAAACAACATAAGACTATTAGCTTAATCAGGGTAGGGGTTTTTCAGGTTCATTCACCACCATATCCTAGGTGTCATATGCCTCGTAAATAGTAGGTGATGCTTAAATATATGTTAACTTATGCAGTGTTTTAACATTAGACTGCTAGTTGAATTCATTTAAATATGATGAAATTGAACTATGCAGCTTAAGATTATTTAAATTATCCCCAGTTTTGATAAGAAAACTTATTTCAGAAAGGAAAGGAGATTGCTAATATATTTACTGAAATCACAGTATGTTGCACATTCCATTGGAAAGCTTTATTATGCAAATATATTTAAATCATATTGCATGATAGTCCTGCTGTAGTTTGAGATTGATCACCCAGTTAACAGCCACTATGTTTTTCAAGGATACTTTATAAGCATTTTTTGATACACTCTTTTTTTGTGCTTGCCTCCTTTGAAGAAACCCTGTAACCATTCAGCCAGGTGTTGAGAAGATATGTAGCAGCCCAGCACTCATCGTTTGACACCATCCTCTGAAATCAGCTTTGGAGATGCTTTCACTCTGTCCGTCTTCTGCAGCAGCCAGGCAGAGTGCTGACTCCTTCACAGCCGTGAGGAACTCTTCAGGCTCCAGAAGTAAGTTAATTGCATTCAGTTCAATCATTGTCAGTGGGTTTAAAACACTTAAGGGAGGAAAACTAAAAATCTTGCTAACTTACAGACAAATTAAACCTCGTATTATTCATCACTGATTATCTTGTTTTTTTTTTTTTTTTTTTTTGAGTCATATTTTTCTGGAGATGCAATGTCTTCCACTTTTTGTGTTGAAAACCTATATCCTTGTGGAATTTTCTGATTTTTTTTTTCAGGATTTGTGTTTCACATGCATTATCATAATTTATACTTACAACTCTATAAGGCCTGGACAAGGAATATATTAAAATAACAATGTTTGCATATGAATAAAAAGATTCAAAATGACCAAATATTTTATCAAATTTGCTTGGCTCATAAACTATGAAAGTGGAATACAATTTCTGGTTTTCTAAATTTTAAAAAGTAAGTGCTGTTTCCATGGCTTTGATGTCCAGTGCTGTATGAAGGGCAATGTACTGGTGCTAGAAAGAGCAGTTTTCCTGATTGGTTGGTTTATTGAATGATACGTTATCTGGGTCATTCAAGGAGAGTTTATGCCAACCTTTAAATGTACATACTAGAAAAACAGAAGAAAATGAAAATCATATATAGGAAAATGAATTGAAATCAGGGGACATGAAGAATCTGTAAAATACATAACACAACGTACTGCATACCACCACAAAACAAATTCCCAGTCATAAATTTATGTATGGACTTTCTAACTTCTAGGCAAATCAGGTAAATGTATTAGTTAAAAGATTATTTATGACCATAGCATTTGAAAATAAAGACAATGTCTCAGGAAAAGTTCAGATTTTCCTGGTTCATACTTATGAGCCTATTGTTTTGCCATGTTTCTAGTTTAACTTTACGTTTGAGGCAACTTTACGTTCATACTTTACGTTCATACTTAGGAGCCTATTGTTTTGCCATGTTTCTAGTTTAACTTTACGTTTTTTTTCTTCTCCTAAATACTTGATGTAGACATTTCTTGTTGCTCTTGGCGATATATTTACATCGCAAAGTCACTCCACAGAAAATTAATTGTAGGTGCACTTTTATATAGAGCAAAAGTTTGATATAGCTGAAACTGTCAGTGATTGGATGCTTGGCAATTAAAATTTTCTTGAAGTGAACAGGTAAGAGATACTTAATGAACCCATTTTTATTTTGCAACATATTACATGTCAATATGCAACATAAATGCATATGTTATTAGAAGAACAGAAAAACTGTAGTTAAGAATTTATATGTGAATCCTGATGTATCTGATTATATAACATTTAAAATAGGCAGCCAGTTTGTTGTTGCCAGTATGCTCAAGGTGGTGTAGAAGGACTACTTTTAAGACATACAAAAATAATATATCTAGATTATATTGAGGTTAATTGATTATAACTGTGATGGGAGTGTAAAATGATGAGTCTGAGTATGCAGATTCATTCCAAACATGATTTTCGTGTAGGTTTCTTCTTCCTATATTTTATTACCTGGTATTCCTTTTGTACATAATGTATTCATTTATTTTAGGAATTGCTTTTGTTGCTTTGCTTCTTTAGCTTTCCATTAAATGAAACAATTTGAGGAATGCATTCTAAATTTTCTGTGCTTTGCATTTTCTTAAGGAGACAGAGGACACTGTCCAAGCCTGAGGTGACTGTGAAAATGTAAAAATTGTTTGTTTCTTTATGGCAACCCCACAAGAAACTCCAGAGATTTTATCTGCCCAAACAATTAGTTAATTAATAATTTTTTTGTGTGTTGTTTTCCACTGGCAAGGCTTTTTCTAGATAAAAGCATTTACTTTACGAAAGCCGTTAGCAAAGGAACTGTATTTACTGACAGATTCTCTAGTGTAAATCCCAAAACGAAGTAAATTCAAACACATTTTCATTTACTAATTGCTAAAATCAAGGCCAAAGGATTTTCTTAATTAACGTGGAAATAAAAGGCTAACCAGAAATAATTTATATATTGAAAAAGACTCTTCCAAGTTAATGCTTGATTCATTTTTTTTTTAAATTAGCAGTCCATTAGTGTGTAGAAGTAGTACCTCATGTTCTCTATTTTTTCTTTGGAGTAACATTAGGTTAAGTCTTGCATGAAACTGATCACTCTGAAAAAAATAAATAAATAAAACGGAAAGTAAACACATTCCTAATTAGGGTTGTCCAACTTTAAATAGCTCATTGAAAATTCATAGGACATCCATTAAAATCCCTTTAAAAATAAATGGAATACCAGGAACTTTCTTAGAGTGAAACAGTGAATGGAGTTGTAGTAGTAGAATAATGATGCAATGGAATATCCACTTGTGATTAAGGAGGACAGCTGAGGTGGTAATTGTTGCTATTATGATTATTTTTCTCACTCTGGCATTTCCATTTGGCCTTGGATAGTAGAAGAGTACTTTTGTCTGTTTCTCTATTCTTTCTCACTTAACAAGAGTATTGATGAAATTAAACAATGAATGATGTCTTAACAGCAAATGTGCCTGTAGGCACATGCTTTTGAAAACACATAAGTATGTATGTGTGTGTATTTATGTGCATGTGTGTGTATGTATATATGTATATATGTGTGTGTATACGTAAAGATAATTTACTATACCCATAATGATAATAATCATTTTACAAAGCTAATATTCCTTTTAACTATTAAGGTATCCTTAGTGGCATTAAATATATAATATTTAAGGGGTGCTTTATTTTTCTGAAATGAACTCCCTTATATTTAAAGTGTATAAATTATCACTTTTTATGACATTATTTGAAAGTGGCTTAACCAGCTATCATAATAATGGGCAACATATTTTCATTTGACAATTTGTAGTACTCTTTACTAAACATTAATTTATTTGCTATGTATACCATTTCTATGAGTACGTTTTTCATTTGTCTATTTCTTCAACCATGTGTTAGTCCATTTTTGCATCATTATAAGGAAATACCCAAAGCTGGGTAATTTAGAAAGAAAAGAGATTTAACTGGCTTATGGTTCTGCTGGCTGTACGGGAAGCATGGTGCCAACATCTGCTTCTGGTGAGCCCCTGAGGAAGGTAATCATTAAGACAGAAGGCAAAGGGGGAGCAGGCACATGACATGGAGAGAGTGGGAGCAGGAGAGAAAGTGGGAAGTGCTACACTCTTTTTAACAACCAGATCTCACATGAACTAACTGACCAGGAATTTACTCATCACCAAGGAGCCATTCATGAGGTATCTACCCCCATGCTCTAATACTTCTCACTAGGCCTCACCTCCCATATCGGTGATTACGTTGTAACAAGAGATTTGGAGGGGATAATCATCCAAACCTTGTCATTCCATCCCTGGCCCCCCCAAATCACATGTTCTTCTCAGATTACAAAAGACAATCATCACTTACCAACAAGCCCCAAGAGTTTTTAATCATTCCAACATTAAGTCTAAAGTCCTAAGTCTCATCTGAGACTCATCTCCTTCCACCTATGAGCCTGTAAAATCAAAATGAGTTATTTAGTCCCAAAATGCAATGATGCTACTGGCATTGGCTAAGCTTTACCAGTCCAAAAGGGGAGAAACTGGCAAAAAGAACGGGGCAATAGACCCCATACAACTCTGAAACCCAGCAGGGCAGGCATTAAATCTTAAAGCTCCAACATAATCCTTGACTTCAGTTTCCACATCGTGTTGTGAAGGATGGGCTCCCAAGGACTTGGGTAGCCCTGTGCCTGTGACTTTGTAGGACACAGCTCACATAGCTGCTCTCACAGGTTGCAGTTGTATGCTTATGATTTTTCTGGGCAGAGGGCTTAAGCTAACAGTGAATCTACCACTCTGGGGTCTGGAGGACAGTGGTTTCTTTCCAACATCTCCACTAGGTGGTGTCCTGGTGGAGACGCTGTATGGGGGCTCCAACTCCATAATTTCCCCTTAGCTTGCCCCCGTAGTTTCTCTGTGAGGAGCTCCACTCCTGTGGCAAGCTTCTGCTTGGGCACACAGGCTTTCCTAGATATCCTCTGAAATCTAGGTGGTAGCCACCAAGCCCCCTTCACTTTTGCAGACTTAACACCATGTGGAAACCACCAAGGCTTATGGCTTGTGCCTTCTGGAGCTGTGGCTTGAGCTGTACTTGGTCCCCTTTGAGCCATGACATAGCTGGAGTATATGGGGAGCAATATCTCAAGGCTGCTCAGGGCAGTGGGGCCCTAGGCCTGGCCCCTGAAATCATTCTATTCTCCTGGGCCTCTGGTAATAGATATCCTTGCCCAGAGGCCCAGGAGAATAGAATGGTTTCTTGGAGCAGGCCCAGTCTTGAAAATCTCTGAAATGCCTTCAAGGCATTTTTCCCATTGTCTTGGATATTAGCGCATGGCTTCCTTCTGGTCATGCACGCCTCTCTAACACATGGTTGCTTCATCGGTTGTTTATATTCTTTCTCTGTCACTTGCCCAGTTTGCAAATTTTCCAAACCTTTATCTTCTGCTTCCTTTTAAAATATAAGTTCCAACTGTAAATCATTTCTTTGCTCCTGTATATAATTTAGGTTGTTAGAAGGAGCCATGTCACTTCTTGAACGTTCTGCTGCTTAGAAATTGTTTCTACCAGATACCCTAAGTCATTACTCTTAATTATCAACTTTCACAGATCCCTAGGGCCTGGATGCAATCCAGCCAAGTTATTTGCTAGGGGGTAACAAGGAGGACCTTTACTTTATTTCCCAGTAACTTCCTCATTTCCATCAGAGACCTTGTCAGTGTGGTCTTCACCATCCATATCTCTGTCAGCATTTTGGTCAAAACCATTTAACGGTCTCTAAGAATTCTAAACTTTCCCTCATCTTTCTGTCTTTGGAGATCTCCAAAGTCTCCCAAACCCTGCCTGATACCCAGTTCCAAAGCCACTTTCACATTTTCAGTTATCTTTATAGCAACACCCCACTACTTAATACCAATTATCTGTGTTAGTTCATTTTTGTATCACTATAAAGAAATGTCTCGGGCTAGGAAATTTATAA